ACATTACCCTACCCTTGCTTTGACGGGTACTCATTAGTTATATAGATATTATGTTCACATGGCTTTCTGAGTCCAATAGCCCAATAGACAATTTGACAATAATTTTTTTGATTAGACTTTGTATACACATCCCTGCCTTACCTTTACCCTAGGGCTTAAAAATCGACGCCCTAGCCCGGCCCTTATGGTACTACTTGCGGGTATCCATTGGTAGCCCGAGTCACGTGGAGGCCTACTGGAAACGTTTCTGTTTAAACCTTTATTATTACGTTAGATCAGAATAATTTTTATTTTTAACTGTTTAGTTTAAATAGGCACAAGCTCTTTAGTAATAGAAAATTCGGGTTTGATGTTTAGATTTAGTCGGGTTTGCCTTAAATTATTTTAGATAATAAATTAAATTAAAAATATTATAAATGAAATAAACTAAATTAAATAGTAAATTTTAACCATCAGAAGTATGTGGAATATTAGTAGCAGTGTGTTGGGTAAATTAAAGTTTAGTGTAGATTCTTCATTAATTCCCCGTGATCTTGATATGATGATCGGTAATAAATATCACGATAAGAATTATGTATTTTGATTGATTGATTATCACGGAAATCACGAGTAGATCTACAAAAATTAACCTTCTATGATTAGCTGTTTTCTTGTATCACTAGCGCGTCGGATTTCAGGACTATACGCAGTTCGTCATTTGGACTTCCATTTGACCCGCTCTCCGTGGGCACGTCCCCAGCAAGTCGTACGTTCGCGTTTTGTTATCTAGCTAAGTAGCGCCTTTGTCTTTTCACTATACTCGATTGCAAAACTGCAGGCATTCGTCGCTTTACCGTATAGGCGCGTAATAACGCACACGGGCGTTATTTTGAAAATCTCATATTTGACTCAGAATAACGCCCATGCGCTTCCGAAATAACGTCCCCGCCTATATAGTCTCAGGAAAGTTTTTAATAATTATAACTTTTTTCTTCAAAATTAGGGTAATGATTCAAATTATCGCGCATGTGCGTTCCGAAATAACGCGCAGATGCGCGTTATTACGCGCCTATACGGTACTAATAATTTGGCATTATTTCATACCTGGATATAATATTGCTTTTTACAAAATGTCAATATAAAGCGGATAAACGCTAATTTTTGTTACAACCACTTTAATCCTTCGTTTTTTGAAAGATATCAAATTCTTTCAATATCTAGTCTGGCGAGTAACATTGGGTGGTCATTTGAAATTCTGGGACATATGAAAACATTCATGAAGCCACTGTTGGGTGCGTGGTGTACACAGTGTTGTACATTTGACTGTCCCGAGCTTTTTTGGCCTTGCCCCGTCTCAGGATGTCCCAACTTTGTCCCATTAAATTCTCAATTTTATCTCTAATAAAATATATGTAAAATTAAATTTTATTTAGAGCCGAAAGAAGGCCATCTTAATAAAATTAATATTTTTTAAAAAATATCTCTATCCTGTGTACAATACTGGTTGTACGTACGTACGTACGGGTGCATGGTGGCATTCCTCACACGTTCTGCATCTTTTGCCCTTCTGGTCGATTCGTTGGGGATTTGGATAAAAAACTGAACCACAATTTTAATTGGACAAATAATTAGTTGGTTGCCAATTTGGGCATGTTCAATTGGTGGCCAAAACCAATTGACATAGTGCATGCTCAACATTAATTATTTAGATCCATTCCTTCTGGCAAGGTCCCTTGCTTTAATGGGTGTAGACACATTTCTTTAGTCTTTCCAGATCAAGATTCGCTTTTACAAGTCAGGTTGTAAAAAAAAAAAAATTTACACCTTGAGGTGTAACTGTGATAAACTTTTTTATACCAGAGGCTTTAGTCAGGGACGGTGAATACCTCCATTAAGAATAAAATGGAATAAAATGATAAATTATAGCCAATCAAATCTCGCTATTTATCGCGTAATAATCTTCGGAAATTGAAATTATTCTGAAAATTAAATTTTGGTTTGCTAAAAAGTTTTTTTTTTTGGTGATATCGGAATAAAATGGAATAAATGGAATAATTGATGTTAGTATGATAAAAATTTCCAATTTGATAGCGGAAGTATTCCCCGTCCCTGGTTTTAGTTCATAGACAGACATTCGTATGATTGGCTGTTTAAATCAATTTAATTTTACATTATTTATACAGTTTAAAGTATTTTTTAAAAAAAAGAAAACTACGAAGAATAAACAAAAAAAGAAGGATATAGAAAGTTTTATTAGGGTTGTAGGATTCTACTATTAAAAATAATCAAAATTCTTTTCTGTTTTAGAGAAGTTAGCACGGTGATAACCTAATTTTAAGTCGTTATTATGCTAACTTCTCTAAAACAAAAAAGAATTTTGATTATTTTTAATAATGGAGTCCTACAGCTCTATTAAAACTTTCTATATACTTCTTTTTTGTTTATTCTTCGTAGTTTTCTTTTTTTTTAAAAGTACTTAAAGCTGTATAAATAATGTAAAATTAAATTGATTTAAACAGCCAATCATACGAATGTCTGCCTATGAGGTTTTAGTCTTTCGCTGTCTGAAAGCTAGTGATGGGTAACGCGCATGATCCTACGTGTGATACGTAGTATAATATATTGCGTTGTCTATCCTGCGCGGGATTTTTGGGAATCCGCGATTTGCCAATCACTACTGAAAGCTGCTCTTAGTTGCCCTTTGAAGGATTCTCTGGTCCAACAAAGATACTTGACCCTGACAAGGGAATGCGGTGATCGTCATCATGCTCTATTCATCATCCTAGTAGGTTAAACTGTTTCGAGATCTTCATTATAATTTATATTTCCGCCGTCTAAGAAAGTGGAGCGCGTGTGCGATCGCGTTCTAGTCGTTAGACGGTATATGTCATACGAATTAGCAAAATTAAAAGTCATTACCGCTTCCAGAGGCAAATTAATGACATTAAAAGAAAACCTGTCATTATCGGACTCGACATGAAAATCTGATTTTATGACAAAGAAACGCATGTAACCGAACGACAAGAACAACTACAGAACTAGCTGTACAAGTATTTTGACTGTATATCATAATTGCGGATCAATTGTTAAAAAGGCTGGATCCGATAAGGTGAATGCTCATGAATCAATTTATATTTAGGCTGTTTGAAATTGAAACTTCGTTTAACGTTATTTTTTTCGTATCAGGGGAAATTAAACAAAAATAAAAATTAAACAGCGGCCACGGCTGCTGGCTGCAGTCGGAGATTCAATATTCAAGTTTATTCTAAAATTCCTTGCCGAAAAATCCCGGTTGCCATGCTGGCTATTATATCGATCAGTTTGTCACTTATATTTGTTCAATTTTGGGGGAGCTCAGGAGATGAGGGATAACGTTATCAAATTCAAACATCCTTAAATACTGTATATACAGTATTAGAATATAAAACTCTATTTACTTAGTATATATTAGAAGAAACATAACATTGGTAAAATTAACATTTTAAAGTTTAAGATAGATTTTTGTACATTCTATTGTTTAATAGATGTAATAAATACTTTTTATCAAAATAACGGAGCACCTTATTAATTTGAAAAAAAATATATACATTCTTCCAAAACCTTATTTCGAGTACAATTTATATTTTCTAGATTGCAATGCAAAAAAATTAGACTTTTAAGTTTTATAATATATTTTAATAACGTAATTAAAATAATATAGCCTTTTATTCTTCCTCTGAGGTTTCTGCTTCTGAGCTTTCTTCTTCAGATGAGTCATTTGCTTCTTCTTCCTCTTCTTCCTCTTCTTCTTCTTCTTCGTCATATTCTTCACTCATTTCTTCATTTGAAGTTTCATCCTCGATTGAGTTATAACGAAGAGCTGTATAAATATATCAAATTGCAAAGTTCGGACCATATATATGTTACATTTATTTAGCCTATGCTTATATGAAAAAAATAAACAGTAAACTTAATTTACCAGTCTTTTCGTCATGATTTCTATTATCATCAGATGATTCGTAAGAATCATAGAAATGTTCAGAATCATATGAATCGTTATGCTGTTTGACAATGGGTTTATCATAAGTCGACGACGGAATATACCGTCCAAATGAATCACTTCCGAATCCTTTAATATATTGGCTTCTATTCCACGTATCATCCTAAGGCACAATTAAACTTTAATCTTTTTTGCTAGGATTTTTAACTGAATAATATTGTTAAAGAAAAATTACCAAATTTTCTCTGACAGATCCATCTGGCTTTTCAGTTGGCCAGTCAGGTAAAGACTTATATCCAGCCACAGAGTAATTTAATACAAGCGACATGGATCCTAAGGTGAACCTGTCCCTTCCTGGACATTCAATAATATTTAAAAAAAATGCCAAGTTTAAAGATAAATTTCACAAAAAAGATCAAATGAATTTATTTTATTCACCTACAGATGGACTTTCTTCCGAAGGCGCCTCTTTTTCACATAAAAGTATTTGTTTCAAGTTGTTCTTTAAAATAGAGCTCTTATTAAACTCTTCCGATAGCACTCCTTCCACTCCCATATTGTCAATATTGATTTCTTTGTTCTCGCTTATTAAAACCAAGCCTCTGAGAAGTCTTGCACGATCTCTGATATCATAATTAAGATCATATCTTGCCAGATCAAGAACATATTGGAATAAAAGATTCAAAGTGTGGTCCGTGGAATGAAGTGATAAAAGCTTGGCGCCAAGGTTGATAATTTGCAATTTAACGACATCTGCTTCTGTTGTAAAAGTCTTTGCAGCTTTCCTTAATATATCCGGTGCGACTTTCTCTAAATTTTGTGCATATTGACCAACGAGCCAAAATATACTTGCTCTGGCCATTGGCACCGTTATATGATCTAGAGCTTTGGCAAGTTGTATTATCATATCTGCATTATCCTGAGGGCGTAGTTGCAAAAGTCTTTTTATTACTACAACAGATTCTGCAACAACTGCATCTAAAAATAAGAAAATAATAAAGTTATTTTCATATGAATATTTTCGATCCATTTAAAGCAAAAAAAAAATTATCTTACCATTCTTGCTCCATAATAATTTCATTAATCCGTTAAGACAACTTTCAGCCATTTCTGGCATTCCTATTGCACATCGACCAATAGCTCGAATTGCAGATGTCGCAAAATCTTTATTAGGACTTTTTACATACTCCTAATTATTTGAATAATTAATTAATTCAATTTAGCACGATAACGAATATTTATATGTTAAAATCGTTAAACAATTACAGATAACTAAACCTGCAATTCTCTAAGTATTCCAGTTATATTAATTTCGGTCGCAACTAATGTCATAATTTCCATTTTTAAATTACGAATGAAAACAGGGTCTGTTGATCGGACGAAAAATTGTTGTAAGTGGGGTTCAAAAAGATACTGCGATAATAATGATTTGACAAAACTTATTAAAAATTAATTGGTATTAACGATTAGCTTTAAAAAAAAATTATCACATACAGGCCGTTGCGTTGCCATTGTAGCGATGTTAGCTAGTACTACATATTGAATTTCTCGATGGCTATGTAACAGCCTAATTAGCGGTTTGCTTAATTTGTAGGCATCTGCTGTTGGCGCTAAATGGTAGAAAATTTTTGCAACTGATAATACTACCTATATAAGAAACATGTATTCATTTAAGCCACTAGGTGATAAATATTTATAACAGACATATCAACATACCGCACTATTTCTGCTTTGCAAGAGTGGTAAGGAATCCCTTAGTAATTGTTCATGATCTGGATCAAGAGCATAGGACTTATCAAGCGAATTATCCGACTCGTCAGAATCTTCATCAGAATAAAACTCTTTTGATTTTTTCTTTTCAGTAACTCGATGGTTCTATAAATGAAATAAATTTAAACATCTTATTCACAGTTTGCTTAAATGTCAAATAATATTTGTAAATTCAATACTTCATCTGGGTTTGGATTTAAAAATTGAGTCCTGTATATTAATAACGAATTAATATAAATTCTTTATTATAAAAAATTGATCTGTATCATCGAATGTACCTTGCGTATCGTAGCAATAAGCCCATAATGACAATCTGACCCCATTCATCCGCATCAATTAACATTCGACAAAATTTTCGGTAGTGTGGATGTATTAAATCTAAACGATCAGGACACACTTCGTTAAAAGCTGTTATTACACTACCAATTGTAAACGGCGAAGTATCATTAAGAAGAGAAGTAATGATATCGACCAATGCATCTTTTTGCGATGGATCAAGACTTTAGCGAATAAGAAACATCCAACATGTGAGTAATATAGTTAAATATTCGAATAAAATGTTTTATAAAGATCTTTTTTTAAAAAAAATAGGATTTGCTAATCCATACCTATAACATTTTGGAATAGCGTGCGCGGCAGTCTTTCTTACATACGGAGATAAATCAGTCATGCATTTTTTGATCGCTAACAATACAATTGGACTAATAACAGGAACCCGAATGCCAGACATTACTCGTAAAGCCATTGCTCTTATCAACTGATTTTGGTCTGTTAAATCTCTTTGAAATGTATTAATTGATAGTAATGCAAGATCAGGTTCTTGTTCAGCATATCGAAGCAAATATATATAAACAAGTTTTCTAATTTCAAGATTCTGAGAAGCTACATTCTTTACAACATCTGGAAAGAACTCGGATACATCGCGACCTTTTGATATCATCTAGTTATACAAATAATGAAAGGAAATTCGTCACGTTATAATAAAAACCAAAATACCTAACTAGCCTTAAAATTTCAAACTAGTAATTATACCGCAATTAATCTCTTTAATCCATCCATTTTTTCGCGATCATGTCTCGAGTCTAATTGTCGCTTAATATCGCGCATTTTTTCCTCTGAAGTATCAAAATAATGTCCAGAGGAAGTCGCTTCCAACCCAAATTCGCGTGCATTTTCAACTATACCTTCAGATACCTTTTTCGACAGCTTTGCAGCATTCTGAGCAAAGGCTGCTGCCTTAGATAAATATTCCGACATCACCGAGCAGTAGTATAATGATTATTAAATTCTCTTCAAAATGCTAAGAGTAGATATCGTAATTTGTGCCGTTATTAATAATGAGGCTGCAGTTCAATTATGTGCGACGCAGTGCCACAGTGCAACCCGAATAATTGAGGTTATACAGTATTGGCAATATAAATTTTATTAACCTTATTTTATATATTGTACAGGTATCTTACCTGTTTAACAAATATAACAAATATTTTTTTCTTTTTTAAAAAAATTTTTTTTGTTATTTAAATTTCAAATATAATTATTTATTTTATAGGTCTCAAATAGCTGATTAAAAATTTTTTTTACACTGTACTGTAATTCTTTAATCGGATTTATAAAATTAAAAATTTATTAAAATATTTATTATATAATTTACTATATAAATTTATTGTAATTTATAGATAGTTAGTGTTGTACCTTGAACAATTTTAAACAAATTTGAACATTTTTTCAAATTAAGATTACATAAAATTTTATTAAGATAATCTATTTTAATTTTTTCAAAAATGAACCCAGCATCTAAAAAAACATATTATATAATTTTTAAATCAATTTATTAATTATTTAAACTTGGAACATAGGCTTGAACAGTTTTGGACAATTTTTAAATATATTTAAGTTTAAAATTGTTCAAAACTATTCAAGCTTATATTTCAAATTTAAATAATTAATAAATTAAATTTAAAATTATATAATTATATGTTTTTTTAGATGCTGGTTTTATTTTAAAAAAATTAAATAAATTATCTTAATAAAATTTTATATAATTAATTTTAAAAAATATTCAAAATTGTTCAAAATTGCCTAAGATACAATATTGTAAATAGTATATACTGTATATATGGAGTCTTTGCAATAGAAAGGGCCAATACTGCCAAAAAATAAAAATCTAGTTTTTGTTATATTCGGATAAATTTTGATATGGGCTATATTTTTCAATTATAAATGAAAATTGGTTTGTATAATAAAAAATTGATTATTTTAAAAAAATTTTTTGGGAGTTTTATACATCACAAGATTACCCGATATAACTGGCTAATCAAATTACGAAAATTTTGATTAACCCAGATAAGTCTGAACAAAACAAACACAATTTTCTCAAAATTGTATATAAACCAGTATTAGCTCTTTTTACTGTAAAAACTCTATATATACTGTATATCAGAATTATTGGTTTATATTTTTTTTAAATTATAATACTGTATCTTATATTTTATAAATTATATAGTTGCAAATTTAGGTTTTTGATATAAACAAATTTGGTTAACACTTATTTTATAGCTTTTTAAAATATTTCTAATTATATATTGTTTATATAATATAATAATTATATATAGCAGAGGGTTAGAGTCTTATAGCCTAGTGGTCTAGATATCTAACTCTTTACAGATGAGGTTGACAGTTCGATTCTAGCTAGTGGTAATTAATAATAATTAATTATCTCTGTAATCTATGGGAGCTTTCAAATGCAGAACCCTGTGGTGATAAGACTATATGATAGTACTTATTTGGCTGATAAAGAATTCTTGAAAGGAGTTTTGAGTTATAGAAAAAACTGGGCACTGCATGTGATATAGGTAATACTGCAGAAGGCTATGTGTGTGAATCTACAATTGGCAAGGTAGCACCAACAACTCTAAGATAGCATTGGGATCTTGATTAGAAGGATAGCTGTATGCGATATACCAAAAGTGGTGAAAGAAGCAGCAAATACAGTAAGGGGCTGTGATAAAAGAATAGCTTTACCAAATAAAGGAACACCTCTGGTGCATAGAAACAATAAAAACCAGTTAAAGAAGTTAGGAATATATGGCAAGTATCTTGGTGGTACAAAAAAAAATTCGGCTAGTAGGTAATAGTCACACAACCAGCATAGAAGTCATATGACAAAGCATAACAGGAGTACTGGGTCCTGGAGTACTAAATTGTAGCAGTACTTAAAAAAGATTCTCAACTCCTGTTCTAAGGTTCTAGGCTCCTGTAATACCATAAGTGATGGTAGTATTATAAACAAAATAGTAGCCTGAATTGGCAGTGTAGAACATAAATGCCCAAAAGCACAAGTAGGAAACTGCAACACTGCAGAGAGAGGGACCCGGGATGTCTATAACATACTTATAAATTGTCTTCTAGAAATACCAAACTAGAAATACCAATAATGCTCACCTCTAGGACACCAATTTGGAAGTAATACAAGAAGCAGTTTGGGAGTAATGCTATATATAGAAAAGACAAAGGTAATTGGTAGAACTTGTACAGTAGTATATATGCAGGATATATATAAATAAAATATAGATAATGGAACCTGGCTAATGAATTGGGAATTGGTGGAACCCCATTGCACTATGGGCATCCACAGGGCTATTAAGACTCAAAGAGGTTAAATATACAGGAATAGTCGCACATAGGTGCTATATAATAACTAGGTAAGTCATACTTTATTAATAATGTAGACAATTCTACAGATAAAACAAAAACATGTAAAAATGTATACCCTATTTCTGATAATAAAGTAATAGCATAACTAGGCCTTAAAAAAAAAAAAAATTATATATAGCAGATTATTATAAGTAAATAAATTATATATTTATAATGTTAACTCTTTCTAATGATCACTTGGATCAAATTTTCTGACAAAAAGAAATACCTATTTTCTATACTGAAGAGTGGTAATAACTTGTAGTAAGGTGAATCAACAGGGCAGTTTTTATAAAGATCAACTTTTTTCTACTATCGGGAACTTCTTTATATATTTGATATGCAAGCCAAAAGCATCAGTATACAAAATAACTGGTAGAAGAGAGTGCCCTTGTATATAAAATTTTGGTGGTTAGATAGAGATTATAAAGTCCAAGTCTACTATCGACAAAGCTATCGGTTGCAAAACAACTGGAGAATAGTAAAGAACGGGTTTCTTTTAAGCCGCACTCCTTTTTCCTGGCCAAGTGGTACCTACTATCTTTTTTCTACTTCTCTGCCTTTCTTCTAAAATTTTTTCAACAAAAAGTGGGGATTTGGTTTACCTCTTCCAAAAGATCGGCATTGTTAACTTCCCAAATTCAGATGGACTAGTAAATTGCAACCACATGTTTGTTTACAGACAGATATGGTGCTACTGTATGAAACTTGGCCTGGGAACTCCAATTACAGCAAAAGGTAGCTTTAATATAGGGTCTCGGACAACAGAGCTATCCAAAGTTAGTGAGAAAATCAGAAAGTAAACTTTAATATTAAGATAGAGCTTTATCTTTACAAAAGAGATATACAAATGTTGCATTTGTTATATAATTTTTACCAACCTTGCACAAGTTATAATAGTGCCTTTAGAGTCTTAGTTTTCTTTTCATGTTTTTCTTTTTCATAATCTGTGTTTATTTTTTTCTTGTTTTGTTTGTTTTTCTTTTTTGGTCATTTTCATATTTGTTTTTTTGGTCTAAACTTTTTCTCTTTTTTGTTTCATGCTCCTTGAGAAAAAGAAAGAATTAGAAGGGAAAAGAGGTCCTAAGGTGGGAGCTGAGCCCCAGCTAGATTATATCTTTAAATACAGCACACTGTATATAAGGTATAGTGGCCAACATCAGTGTGATAACCAAGGTTGGGTATCTCTAAGAGATAGCCGGCTTTTAGTCTAATTACCTTGTTAAATAGCTTGGTCTTGTATTAAGCATAATACATTTAATAAAATTTTAATATGCAATTATCAAAGGAAAAAATATATATATATATATTTATAATATATTTATAACAAAAAAGTATAAAGACCCTTCAAATAATGTTGCACTTCCCCTAACCTTCACCCTATAGCTTATTTAACATATCACCTACCTCTATGAAGATGCCTATATAAATAAATGTGAGCTTTAAATACTTTCACAAGATATGTCCAAAGCATACGATACTGTATACATACCTCTTTTGGTCAAAGCTCTCCTTGGAATAGAAGCTCCAACTCAATTTACCAATCTCATAAATACTATTTTCTCTTCATGCCAAATCTGAATTATTATTTCAATTAGCAAAACAAACTTCTACTATGTCGAGGATAGCATCAACCAAGGCAAAACAATATTTCCTATACTCTGGTATATTTATTATAACCTTCTCATTAGCCACATATCAAAATCTATCTTAGGCTATACTACTTCAGTACAAATGCCCAATACCAACAATTACACACTACTACAACTAATGTTATCATCTACATGAACTATACTATAGATCTCTCCTAACTACACCTTACTGCAACAAATACTCACCATATCATTCTCCTTCTACTAAATAGCAAACATTACTATAAATCTCTAAAAATTAGTTCTCTTCCACAACAACTCTAATGACACTTCTTCAATTTTTTTTCAAGACCAACCTATTTTTAATTTACTATTAACTTAAATTTTCAAACTTCTTGAAACATATATTGACTATACTATCAACAATTGATACTTTATTTATAAAATAAAACAAAAATTTTATATAAAATTAAACAAGCTTAACCATGCAAAGATCACTGAAAAACAAGCAATCTATATCATTAACATGGTGCTACTTTCTTGTTTGTGCTATCACCTCACCAACATATTTTTACCCCCAACTGAAGTTCAATACCTTATATACAACACTATTTAGAGTATGCCAAACTCTTTTCTCTTCTAATGTATTTACACACTTATGCTCTAATAAATACACTTTAATTACAACAATTCCACTTTATATCTGTATTTAAAAACATGCTCAACTCCTAATCTTCCCAACTACCTTTGCTATCCAACTACAATAGCTACAAAACAATACACTATCTAATACTTCTATACTATTTAACCTACTCCAATTTATTCATAAAGAATCCAAAACTTTCATGGCCCAACTTATACTTAACTTATATAAACTGCAGCTACAATTCACACATCTACTAAACCCCAACCCAATATCACTCTCAATACTAGGCATATCAATCAACATCTTTCTAAAAACTTGAACAATAG